AAAAAAACCGATTCGCAGACTGTAAGAAACAAACAACAGAATACAGCGAAACTTCAAACTTTCTTTAAGGAACGTTTCTGGATAGAGAGATTTTTCACTTATTAAGGTTGAATGTGGATGTAAGCCTTCCCGTAACTTAGAATTATAAACTTTATGAAACGTTTAGGGCATTGTTAAGATAAGCTGGTAATGTGTAGTTTCTTACGATATTACTTTCGTATGGATCAAATTTTTGCAATCATATGACATGGAATGAAGGATTCATTCACGAAAACAAACGTGTTCAGGCATTGACCTTCAAATTTATTTCGCGTATTATAGGTGGTCTTAGACGTTTGAAGTAAGAAACTATATTCAGCTGTGAAACCATCAAGCACAAAAAAATTCTATTCACTAAACATTCTTTGAATTCCAGGTAAGTTGTAACAATATATGACCTAAATACTTCAGAACGAAATCTAACAGACTAAAAAAGCTATTTGCTAAAGAACTTGACGAGGAATTTAAGTATTTAAATGAATTGGTTGTTAAAATTCTGTTTGGTAACTTACACGAAGCTCAAATTTAGAATGTTGTCTACTTTAAAGCTATAATTGAGCAAAACACTTCTACCCTATTTCTGTAAGAGATAAATTAGGAAAAATACGTCTTTTTTTTATCACACTTGAATTCCAAAAGACAATCGCAATGTAACTCCCGCAAATACCAGTGCAATGTGATCAGAGCAGATTGCTAGCGAACTCTCTTGATGAATCATCGAATTCTCAAAACAACATCAAAGTAAATGTATTCAAATCAGTTTGGAGAATTAATGTAATGATCTCGGAGTCCTATGCGATAGGCTGGTCGCAGCTGTTTTGATGCTAACTGAACACACACAAAAAAGAGTTATACAAAGGTGTTTTTGACATTTTTCTTACTCAGTTCGTTGAGATTCATGCTTAATCTTCGTTTGCCAGTGAGTGGAGGAAAGAGAAAATGGTGTTATTTTTAGTGCTTTGTTATAAAAGGATGATATTTTAATACAAAATACAGGAAATCAGACGGAGGTGGTCAATGTGTAGGAAGCTCTTTCCGCATATTTCAATATCAGCGTAATGCAACCTGAAGGGAAAAAAAAGACTAAATTTAGCAACAATCATATTACCATTTTTTCACCTTTTTTGAATTTTCCTTTCCAGGTATATCCTTCCAAACGTCTGCAAACCATGCTGCCGAGCAACCCAGAGCATGGAAATATTACAACGCACCCTTCACTGTCGCCAAATCTCGCTTCAGGCATATCAGTCATTGTTATAAATTTTCTTTTGAGTCTCCTTGGAACACTCGGAAATCTTCTGGTATTACTGGTTATCTCAGTCAACATTCGCCTCGCTACACCATCAAACCTTCTTCTCGCAAACTTGGCATCAGTAGATTTTATCTGCATGGCTTTCGTCGCGCCTGGTTCAATTTACAAACAATTTTGCCGTAAACTGGGCTTTTGCCATTTGTCCGAGATGACTGTATTAGCTTTTCGAGGTCTTGGACAGTTCGTTGTCGCTGCCGCCGTCTCGAGTTTATTTGCAATCGCCGTGGACCGTTTTTTAGCCATTTCTTTTCCTTTCAAGTATACATCTATGATGACAAAACGCCGCACAGTATATTGCATCTGCCTAACTTGGCTAGCTGGGGCAGTAATAACTTTTGTTTTCATGGGCCTAAACTTTGTCTACATTCAATCAGCCTACTGCATTTTATTAATCTTGGTGACAATCTCACTGTACATCCACATCTTCTTGTTTGCGTTGAAGAAGGAGCGGCAAATCGCTGCTTTGCAGATTACAAATGCAAAAAGGACCACCAATTTTTTACACGAGCGCAAGTCGACAAAGACAATGGCAGTTATTCTGGGTGTCTTTGCTGCCTCTTGGGTTCCGGCAGTGGTGTTTTATGCAGTTGTTTCGCCAGAGGATCCAAGATTTCCCGATATTCAAAGTTGGATAAATGCAATATATTACTTGAATGCTACTTTAAATCCATTTATTTATTGTGTTCGGAGTGTGAACTTTCGTAAGAGGGTAAAACAGCTGGTAAAGTCTACTATGATACGGTTTAGTCCTTAATTGAGGGCCTCTTAACCAGTAGTTTTATCCCATACGGTGGCTGCACCCGCAGTAGCTTGGAGCGACAGTCAAAACCGAGCTGTCCTACCGAAAGGACACGATAATAGCTCTTTTCATCGCGGCTAACAAAAATAAAGACAATGCTAAAGTTTCTTTGGCCTCTTCTAATACTTCACGCGAGAATTCTGGGCTTAATTTGACGAGGAACAACATATTTTGTTCAAAATAACACAATTATCATCCTACTAGGCGACACTCGAGGAGCCGAGGAGCGAGTACCGGACGCGGTCGACCCATGTTTGGCGCCAAATTAAAAGCTTGCAGACACAAAATGTTTCATATTTTTCACTTTTTAAAATCTGATTTGGTTTTTGGAAATATAAAGCCTTTTTCGCTGATATTCAACGCCGTCTCCGGTGAGAAAAGTTGCCCGCTTTCAGTGCCTTTCCAGCTAACAAACATTAACATCAAGACAGTACAGTTTTCCACCTGCTAAATCCTGATCGGTCAATTCAAATTTCAGGAGCACAAGCCGTATGCAAGGTCATTTAGGGGGAACAGGGGAACATGGGTATTTATTTCAAGGCAACAAGGGATATTTTTGGGATTAATCTCAGGGAACAAGGGGTATCTCTACCATTAAAGGGAACTTTGACAAACAAATTAAGGGAACAGTGGAATTTATAAATAGGGAACAAACCGCCTCCCCCGCTCTATGGAGTCCTCAGAATTGGATAAAATGTTGGATTGTTCAGCACCGTATAATATATGAATAAAAGAAAAAATATTTACAATATCGTTTATCATTTATGGTTTTAGCAATAACTATGGCCGTTTGCCTTTAGAAAGCATATATATAAAGGGCTTTAAAATGATTAAAAGGTTGTATCAAAGATGGACACCCTCAATATTTTTTTTCTTCACAATTACGTGGGATCAAAAAAATTGCTAATGATCACTTCATGATTAAGATGGTTGCAAGCAAACCATCGGCTAAAAGTGCAACGAGATGTTAAGTAATAACGTCATCTGTTGCACTTGTGTGAATCTCCTCGCCCAATCAGCTTAATTTTAGATGACAGATATCGGCAAGGCTTAATAAAACAGGTATCCTTATTGAACTAAAGATGTGTAACAGAGGCACATCTTGAAAGCTTCAGCGAAGTTTTAGTTATCATTTGAAGTGTGATAATAGCAAAGAGTTAATATTTTATTTTATTTTTATTTTCAGTAAAATTGCTCTTAACAGTCACATTATGAGCTCTCATCTCAGGAATTTAATTACCCAGTGATATTTCTAAATCCTCTTCCGAGACTTCAGAACAACGAGTAAAGTTTGCCATTTTGTAGAGTGACAATCTCCAGCCACTGTGCGCTAATGGCTGATTGTGTCCGAATAGCTCAACCAATTAGATTGCAGTGATTGTGTTTGAGTGTACTGTAATTAGAATTGTACAAACATCATGTGAGAGAAACACGAGAGAGAATACCCAGAATAGGCCAATTTCGCCATTAAATTTTTAACACGGCTCTGAGGCTTGAGGGAATAAAACAAAAGAAGTTAAATCACATCCAGGTCGAGGGATGAAAATTCAATTCTTTTTGTTGTTGTTTTATTCCCTCAAGCCTCGGAGCCATGTTAGAATTTTAATATATCGAAAAAGGCTTATTGAAAATCAGTACGTGAGAAAGGCTCGATTACAGACCACAGCTGTTCGGGGGAGAAGCCCGCAGCCCTCACTTGCATTACCTAAGAGTCTCTTCGTTTCGCTTCTCGGAGAGGACCCTCCGGGACCAGCAATAAGAGAAGGAGCCTATATATGAGAAGACATTAAAACTTCCAAAGAAACAAATGTTTTCCTCAAGTAAGTCAGTGTTTGAAACACTGATTAACGCAAGCTTTATTCCAGGATGTCGTTAATAATCCGTTTCGATATAACTCCCATATTCAGCCCTCCAAACTGCGCCAGAGGAATTCAAAAACGGAGGATTCACTCGTAAAACGCATCAAATGTTTTCCGCTTACATTCCGCTGGAGGAATTTAAAAACGCAACAATCACCCGTCATTTTGGATTTGTGTTTGAGGAAACCTCGGTCAGGCAAATCACATGATTACCGTGACACCATCGTTTTCGAAAAGCTCCGTTTTCAAAATGTTTTCAGTCCACGCAACAATGAAAAGCTGGCGTTCTCAGATTCTTCCGGTTTGAAGAGCGTTTTCCGTTTTCGTGACGGATTAGTGTGGGCGGTAGGTCTAACCGTAGGAATGCCTCAGCGGCACAAGTGGTAATATTTTCTGTGTATAGGAGACATAAGACAATAGACATGCGCAACAAACGTAAGTCAAAATTTGTACAAAGTATTTTTCTCACACTCATCACAAATAAAACTTTATCAAATCCCAAACTTTCAAGGTCACAGCCAACGGAAAATATTGAATGTGTAACTGCGTTATTAGCGCAATATAAGCGTTTATTAACAAATATATGAAATGACCTTTTTTGACTCTAAACAGTATTTTGACCAACTGCAACCAACTAATTTTACCACTTCAAACCGCTTAACTTTTTCTTTAATTTTCTGTAGCTTTGGTTTAGTGCCAGGATTCTGTTCGAAAAGCTTATTCTCGGGAAGTGTTGAAAACAAAATGAGAATCTTTTGCTGATGATCTGGCGAAATTTTACGTAGCTCGAGAAGGGTGCCAAGTTAATGCATGTAAACCATTTCAACGGTAATGCAGTTTCGAAGTAAAGTTTCGTTGGTTTTCTTTTTATCAGCATAAAATCCTCGCGCAAGTTACCAAAGGTAATTCAAGTTAATGTATAGCAGATTTATAGAGTTTGAAAGACGTTACTTGGTTGTCATTTCTGCGGTTTGTGGAGAATCAAAGCCAAGAGGTTAATATAGGCTTACTTAACCAAGTCATAGATTCATGAAAAACAACGATATTGCTATTGCACGCGCTGAGGCGCTACGTGATGTTTCGTTCAATGTCAGTCGGACTCAACGTTTGGCGAGTAGGAGGTGCTTGATTTAGAGAATTAAAGGAAAGCGGCGACACCTACGGGCAAATCAAGTCTGTCCAGTTCTTTCACGGTCGGTCTTAGTAGGTAAGCTTCTCTTGAATTCTCTCTTTGTTACTTCCTTCATGTCACGAAATTTAAATTACGATTGAAAGTGACCAGTTTTAGTAAAACAGTTAGCAACACTCATTTAAAAAAGAAAGTTTAAAAGAAGGGAGCTAACCAGCCATTAAAGGAAAAAAAAAGATAATAACCAGTTTATTCGAGAGGTATGAATGCAGACATGAATTTTAGGTAATATTTCTTGCAAAAGCGATTTACGTGTTCTTTTGATTCTCTCAGCCGAAACCCTCTGATTGACTAGCAGCTTTGACCAAAAAGGACTTTAGAATCTTATAAATAGTACAATTTAATGAAATTCCATTTTTTCTTTGCTTTAATTGTTGGGTTTTTTTTAGAAACCTCTTTGATGCTTTAGTTCCCTTTGTTTATAAATCCTTAATTCCTTAATTTAAATGCCTTTTCAGTATTAGACAAATTGCTAATTGTTTACTCACTAACAAAAATGTTATCATAAGGTTGGTATTATAAATTGATAAAGGCGTCAGTTTTTAGTTCAAAACTTACTACTCTTATGTAAAACTACCTACTGTGAAGTCGTAAAGCGAACAATTCTTCAGTCAGCTTAACTTTCGTCGACGATAAAACTGGATATTACGCATCAGTTCAGGTCATTGCATTCGCATAAGTGACGCACGTGAGGTAAATCCCGTGGCTCCCTGGAGGGTAAACAAAAGCATAGTGTACTTAATAAGGACCCGATAATGGGACCACCATTGATCTAACGACACTAAAGATTGCTCTGTCGTTTACTTTAACAACTTAAGTTGTTCATCACCCTATGATTTGCTTTCAAAAAAGTCAGACTTGCATGAAATTATTAATATCTTTTGTAATTGTCTACGTGATCCACGCGCGCCGTAAACACTGTTTCACAAGGCTGGGTTAATGATTAATGACAATGACATCTATTGTTTTTTGGATTATTTAATGCAACAATAAAACAGGAAGTTAAAAAGAACAAACTGCTCTTCTGCGTTGGCGCCAACAGAAAATAATATTGATTTACTATCCAATATAAAATGCATCGATGTGAAAATTCTTTGCTTCGAGCAACATTGCTTTTAATCCGCTCTTAAACCGTAAGACGAGGTTTCTATTGATGGTTAGCTAGCTATCGTCGTATGACGTGGACTTTTAATGGATGATTTCAATGCCTCACTGGGTTTTACTACGTGTGTGGCATTGCATTGTCAGTAATTATGATCATGGTTATTTGAAGCAAATATTTTTACTTATTCTATTCTACTCATCCGTGTAACCTAAACCAGTTTTTCCTGTCATTTTGAGAATTGAACAGTTCAAAAAAGTTGATCAGACCACGGCAGTAAAGTTAACGAAAACGGGGCTTTATCAGTGCGATCGCTACAGCCTTGTTTGATTTATTAATGTCCTTAACGGTTTGGTCTGTTGATGTTTAATTTCTCATATACACAAGTGAAGTCAAGCAAATCTGTCGATTATTCGGCCAGTATATCAATGGGTCAAGCATTATGTAAAGGAAAAACAAGCTATTTTTGTAAACTACCATGTACATTAAAATATTGCGGGGTTATTTCCGCGGTCAAGGGCGCTGGCAATATAACATTTGTCAGAGAAAGTTAAACACGGCACGATTGTTAAACTCCAGAACAATCAAATTCCGCTATAAAATGTTTCTTCAAAAGACAAGAAAGCGACGCGAAGACGACCAAAACTAACATAAAGGAAACTTATTTCATACCATTACTTTTAAACCACTGAACTGGAAACTTATTTTCATTTTAGCAAAGAGGTATGGACATTCATTTACTGTGGGTTTCGTACTTTTTAATTCGGCAGGAACGTCTTTTCAGTGGCCATCTATTAGTATAACGAATAAAATACTTTCCTCTTTCCGTTTTCAGATCTAGCATAATAATGTACTCTAACGCCACGTATGTCACGTCAACAAATGTTACCCGTTATATACCGAGTTTATTGACTGGTGCAACAGTTATCGCAGCTGACGGACTCATTGCAATCGTAGGAACGCTGGGAAATGTGCTTGTATTAACAGTAATTTTCGTTCACATTCGTTTCTCCACCGTTTCCAACATTTTAATCGCGAATTTGGCTTTGGTTGACTTACTCACTGCGTTCGCGTTAATACCAGGTGATATCTACCGGCACGTGTGCGATCGAATGGGGTACTGTCACGTGAACAAGACGTTAGTGTTGATGCATCGTATACTAGCTCAGTTTGTGGTCACCGCTGCTTCAACGAGTCTATTTGTCATCGCCATGGAACGCTTCATCGCCATTGCTTTTCCATTTCGTTACAAATCATTGTTCACGCGTAAGCGTGCCATTACATGTGCTGTCCTAACTTGGACCTTGGGCACACTAATTACTGGCATTTTCCACGGTTTGAACATTGTATACATTCAAATTATTTACTGCATACTTTTAATACTTGTTACATTCTTCCTCTACATATACATTTTCTCCATTGCCTTAAAGCACGAGAAAAACATCGCTGCAATGCAGAGCAGTCTTAGTCCTCGGAACGCTCAACTCCCATGGGAACGCAAGTCTGCCAAGACCATGGCTATGGTACTGGGCGTGTACGCACTTTGTTGGGTTCCTTCCGTAGCATTTTACTCTGTGGTCCAAACGGATGACTGGTTATATCCCAGAATGCATTTCTGGATCAACACCGTGTACTATTTAAATGCCGCGTTGGATCCTTTTATTTACTGTGTTCGGAGTGAGAAGTTTCGTAAGTCGGTAAAAAAGCTTTTCAAATCAGTGATTAGTGCTCATTCTTAAAGAGGCAATGTCACTGCAGCTACCGGGATACCTCAAAACTTCTCAAAAACTTCAAAGGAGCTCAGTCACGGTTTGCAGATATCGAAAAGTTTAGCCTCAATTTTTCAAATTCGTCGTTTGTAATCCGTGTGAATCTTCTCCATCCTTAGCCATCCTTGTTCCTTTATGGTTTATCATTATCTCTTTGGTGTTTTTCTACCTTATTAAACTGTTATTTTCAGGTTTCCTACCATTAAAAGGTAATTTTGTATGTGACCAAAATAACTCAAAATAACATGACTGAGCCCCTTTAGGCATGGTTATGTCGTAGTTCAATTTCAGCTCTTCGTACAATTTAGGTCAATTTAGTATTTTCCTTTGCTTTTGTGTATGGTAATACATTATGATAATGTATCTAAAATGAAAGGGAAATACGAAATATCAAAGTAGATTGTAAAAGGGTTAAAATGAACCACAACATTCACAGTAGGTGAAACCTTTAAACAAAAATTGCCTAGATTAATCAAAATGACTATACTTGTTCAGGGAAGTCTGACAAACCAGAGAAATTTTATCGTTTGTCAGACTTACTTATTTACTCCTCTGGAAAACCGCTAAAAATTACATAAATCGTTCAATACCCTAATTAGTGTTCTTGGCGTCTCTGCTCAGTCAGAGTTTTAAAATTTTAGCACCGCAACAAAATACCAGTGTTATCCCCTTTAAACTCTGATCATTTGTCGAGACGATCACATTCCCAGACCTTTTTAAACTAACTGCTTCCATCGGCTTAAAATATCGCATTGGTGGACAAATCGTGTGGAGTGGCGGTGTCTCTACTTCGAAAATATATATATTTCTTTTTCACTATCACTATCAAGTCCAGTTCGCAGTTTTCTTGTGTAAGATAATACCGAGAAACGAGAGTTTCACTGAAATGTTGC